AGTGGTTTAGCGTGTGATATATTCGTAGAGAATGATATCCGATCCCAATTATCCATGAGAAACGATAAAATTTTAATCAGATTTGACTTCGGATTCCTAACTTCATATCTCACTAAGCGATCGCGAAATAAAATATAATTTTAATATGAATAAAAAATAAATAAATAAAAATAATTTTAAATTAAGTTTTTATTTTATTTTTCTCGAAAAATAATTTAATGATGACACAATGAACTTTCTAAAACTATTTTGTAAAATAATAATAATCCAAAATTAACATTGTTGCAATAAATACGAATACGAACAAACCAATAGAAATTACCTAAATTTGTATGTATATTATTAGATATATTTGATATTGCAAACTATTATAAAAAATAAAATTTACGTTTTTATGCATTGTAGTAAATACGTAAATAATAAAAATATTTAAAATTAGTATGAGATACGATAAGTTTATTTTCAACTAAATTATTCGAGTATTTAATCAATCCACTCAGGTTTTAAGTTTCGTGATTCGTGAATATTAGAAAAAATATATAAATACAATTACTGATTCCATTAGCAATTAGCAACTTATAATTTTTATGCATAATTGATTAACTATGCTTAAAAATTAAATTACTGTACTTTTTCAAATATAAAACTTGGATTGATGGAATAAAACAACGCAACACTTGAGTGATTTGTTAAAGGGGTACCTCCCGGAAGGACTTTTTATGAGAAAACTGGTCATATTTAGTGTCCGACATGTGAAAGTAACTCGGAAAACTCCACTCAGCTTAGCCCGTTGGTCAGGCGCTAAGCTGTGACCTACAATCAACTGTCAGCGTTCAATGGTCTTATCCACTCCGCATTTGTGTGCAGAAAATAATTTAAGCTTCTCGTAAATATTTGAAAAATCATTATCTAAAATGTTTGAAAAAATTACTAAAATTTATACAGTAGTGTCCGGAAACTCGATTATCAATAACTCGACTTTCAGTAAAACTCGTCGTTTCGTTTATTAAATAAGTAAATAAATAAATGTTATCTACTTTATAACACTACTAGCAGGTGGGCCCGGCGTTGCTCGGGCAAAAGTAACGATAACTAAGATAAAGATTATTACGTTACAGTAAACCGTACCCGTTTTTACAGAATGCAAGAATTGGGTCCCCTTGTTTCCAGACTAATTAGAGAATTTTTAGATGGGTCTAAAAATATGTTCGATTTCCCGCAAAAACGAAAAAAAACTGCATCTGCGTATTGCACGTCGCTTTCTCTTAACAATTCCATTGTTACGTAGCATTTCCATTGTTGACACTTCCATTGTTACTTAAAACTTTTATTGTTACTTAAAACTTTCATTGTTACTTAACACTTCCATTGTTACTTAGCACTTCCATTGTTACTTAACACTTCCATTGTTGATGGAAGTGTTAAGCCTTAATCCTGTCCCTCTCCCCCGTGGGAAAAAATTTCGAAAAATCCCTTCTTAGTGTGCGTTCTCCTAACGTACCCTAACTGTGTACCAAATTTCAACTTTCAACTCCTAACCGTTTGGGCTCGTATCCATAATGTATATAGAAGTTTTAATCCTGTCTCTCTCCCCCCGGAGGGGAATTTCAAAAAATCCCTTCTTAGTGTGCGTTTCCGTGACGTACCCTAACTGTGTACCAAATTTGAACTTTCAACTCTTAACCGTCTGGGCTCTGCGCTGATTATTATTATTATTATCAACCTGTCTCGATTATATATTAGATAACTTTAACACAAGAATAAAATAAATAAGTTATTGTTTTTCATTGGTAACACTCGATAACAGCATCAACTACATGTTAACAAAGAATAAAGATCTTTCCCAAAATACCAGTGCAAAATGCCAAGACACGTATGTCACAAACTCTAAAGTAGCTACTGAATAACCAATATTTTTAAATTGAACTTTAACTACAAGTAGAAATAGTTACTATTGGTACGTAATTAATATGTATAGAATTTGCACAATTATATCTTCTAATACATAAATAAAAATTTACCTCCAAATAATAAGGCATTATCTGGAGGTAAATTTTTATATTTTTTGTAGTGCAATAATTATTTTCTGTTCGTACTGTATGATCAAACTGTAGATTTTCTTTTGCTCTGAATGTGTTAAAAGATTTTTAATAGGATAATTTTCAGTAATGCATTATGAGTTGGGAATAATCCAACCCGCACTCCGTAAAACTCGTCATTTTCGATAAGTCGTCTTCTTCTCACTCCATATTAAGTGGCGTTTGAGAGACTCTACTATATTTGTTTGAGAAATTTAAAGGCACTGTACTTAAATTTAATTACTTAAGTTTTAATTACACAATATTAGTTTTATAATATTTACTAATAAAACATTTATTACAGTCACTAGTACCATACATTCATGTGCAATTAATATAATTTTTAAAGATTTCCAAGTATTGTAACTTAATTCTAATTGAAAGAGTAATTTAAAAATTATACATTAATCAGAAATGCCGTATTCAAAATCAATGCTGCATTACATTTGTTTCATCAAATTTCGTGTCTTCACGTGAATATTTAATAATTGTACTTTACTTGCAATTAAGAAACCATTAGCAGTTAGTGATGTTCCCGATTAACTGCTTATGTTATTCTCATTCAAACATTTCTTCCAGATTAAATATTTCAAATTTCATTCAAATCTATTCATTGGCTGTGAAAATATTAAGGGTTAAACTTGGCATTTATTACACATGTAGCTGAGCTTTACTATAGAGCACGTTAGCGATCTTACTTTATCCGGTCAGATCTATAATTTATTTTTAATNTTCTTTAAATAGTGTGTCTGTTCATATCATTTATATTGCAGCATATTTAAGGGAGTGATGTGGGTGTTGGATTCCTCCATAGAAGCTTTAGGAATAAAATTTAAACTAAAATAACCTGTCCTTAACAACAAATCTAAAATTACATTTTATTAACAGATAATTCAATATCAATTATTTGATTTCTTATTATAACAACAAAAATGAATGTTCAGTTATCAATCACTTTCTTAGACTATGTAATTGTATATTTTTCTAGAAGATCATAGTTTGTATATTGAGTTTGTTCTCAAAGTTTCCTTCTAGATGTATTAGAACATTTGTCTGGAAGATATAAAAGGAATGTACATTTGTCAACAGCAAATCAGTCTAATATTAGCCAGTGATCTAAGCAATAAACAAAAGTGACAAGTGAAATCAAAGTGTATGTAAATAGTGAATTACAGATGATTATTTATTTAGTATAATAAAGCCACTGACTGTATTTTTTATATTATCTTTAGATCACCCCAGAGCAAGATCTTAGTTACACCACTGCATTTATAAATCATTTTATTTTTCTTTATATGAAACGATGTCAATCTTCTTATTTGATTATTTCTCACAAGAATACTATAAATGACACAAAGCTTTCTTTACATCTGTTTAATTCTTTTTCCATTTGCCAAGGTGTGTTTTTGGTCTTTGCTCCTCTTCTGTCAGCTTTTTCCATTAAGGTGTTATACATTTAGTTTTCCAAAAACACACTATTATACATTTTCGGAAAATTGAATGTATAACACCTCAATGGAAAAAGTCAACAGAAGAGGAGCAAAGATCCAAAACACATCTTGGCAAATGGAAAAAGAGAATTAAACAGACATAGAGAAAGCCTTGTGTCATTTATATTACACCTCATTGTAAGAAATAATCAAATCATTTCATTTCTTAAATTGCAGATATATGAATTCGTTAAAACATGATTATAATGCTTTATATTGTAAACAGTTATTTAATTTTTTTTCCTTCTGTTGCTGTACAGATTATTCATAACATTTATTCCTATTATTTTTTAAGAGAAATGTGAGTGGTCAAACATTTAAAACAATTTCATTGAATTATTATATAACTATCATTCAATTAATAATTTCCATTTTGCTTTAAATCATCTTCATTTTACAAGAGTATTGTTTTATATTTATGTTACTGTACAGAATTAATAATTTTTTTATTAGTGAAAAATTTGAACAATGAAGTAATAAACAAAAAAGTTATGTATATTTATACTAGCAGATGAGCCCAGCATTGCTTGGACAAAAAGTAACGATAGAAAAGATTAAGATTATTAGATTATAGCCAATCTTACCCGTTTTCACCGAGTGCAAGAATTAGGTGCCTCCTCTTCAAAAACTAATTAGAAAATTTTTAGATATCTGCTTACCACACTGGAATAACAATAAATAAGACTCATTGCAACCACTAATTGGTGCATAGGTACACTAAGTGATAAATAATAAACGTTTTCATAAATCTTTCTGCGTTCTTCTTCAGGTTTAATAAATTCGAAAAATAAGCTGGATCTTCCAGAATCATTCATAAATATAAATACAAACATAAAATCGAACATTAAGACGAAGAGTTTGAATAAAGTGAATTTATGTGCATGCACTCCCCGTGTCAACTTTACATACAATGGAACACTAAGTATCGTTGAGAATTTTTAGAAAGGTCTAAAAATATGCTCAATTTCCAACATAAATGCAAGAAAGGCATCTAAAATAGTACAGTAGAAGCCGAGTTTTTTGGCATAATTCTTAACCCTCTCCCTCACAGTGGGAATTTCGAAAAATTCCTTCTTAATATGCATTCTCATGGCATACCCTATTAAAATGCAATCAAAAAATGCAAAAAACTGCATCTAAAATAGTATAATAGAAGCCAAGTTCTTCATGGTAAGCCTTAATCCTGTCCCTCTCGCCAGTGGGAGGTTTCGAAAAATCCCTTCTTAGTGTACATTCTCATGACTTACCCTAACTGTGTACCAAATTTCAACTTTCAACTCCTAATCGTTTGGGCTCTGTGCTTATTACTATTATCATTATCAACCCATCTCAATTATATATATATATATATATTATAAGATGTGTTACTTACTCTTCATTTCCATTATCGTAAGTTTATTTGCTATATCTTAATTGCTATATCAACCTTCTGTTATGTATAGTGAATAAATTTCAAAATAATAATTTACATTTAAATAGTACCTTCTCTTTCATTGCTTCCTTTTGTTCTTGAAGATAAGTATTCATACTTATAGCATGTGAAGAACTATCAAATCTAAAAAGAGAAAACTATAGAAAGAAATTAATTTAATATGAAGTAATTAGCTAATAACAAAATAGAATTTGATAATCTTACTGTTTTTGGTTTAACACTTCTTTTCTTTGCATAAAATGAAGAAATATCGCTTGCAGCAGTAACTTCAGAAAATGCTGGAGGAGCCTGCTGTCTGTTTGTAGTAGTATTTTGAATGTCAAGATACTGTCCAGCAAGAATCTCTAACTGTAATATATCAATAAAAAAATGCAAATGTAAGTAATATTTTATAAGTCTGAAATAAAACTCTTCTAATATCAAAACAACAAAATTACATTACCACTGTCTGAACTTTGGACCATATGTCAGGCATTTCATATAACAGCAACTCTCCATGTTGTGAATTTGATGACTAAAATACATTTTAAAAATTCAGATAAATATAAAGATCTTTTTCTGTGCAATTAAATCATCATAATATATTTATTTAATAAATCAGGTATTAAATTAATAAGGAAGCATCTAATTTGCTTCATGTTTTATGTCTTGAAGCTATCATTATATAACAACAATATCTAAAAATAAATGTCATGATTTACAGTTAATATATTATTATATATGTATAATATATTGTAATAATGTATAATATATTGTAATAATGTATAATATATTGTTACATATGTAAATTTGAATAAGTTTTGTAGCTAAAAATAATCAGTTTATATTGTTTAAATTTAATATTCTATAGCATTAGAAAAATAATAATATAAGTTTCTAAAATAATATAAAATGTACATCAAACATTAAATTTAAATTGCAACAAAAATTTTGATTTAATGTTGGATGAAATAAGCGGAAAAGTAAAGAATTTCGCATAAAGTTATCAGCAAGTGTAGATAATTGCTAGAAATATTGATGACAGAATTTCAATTCAAAATTTTTTATTTATCCTTAGGATCTTTGAGAAAAACCATAAAAATATTCATATTTTTTAATCAGTAAAATAAGGAATAATCTTAAGGAATAAATTATTTAACAAGACAAAAATATCAAAATGAAATTTTTAAAAAAATAGATTTGAAATAGTTTATGATAATATTAAAAATTTCTGTGTGACTTTTGTCTTTTTGTTAAACAAAAGAAATCTAATTAATAATTTTGGAAGATAAATGAAGAAACTATCTAAAATATAACAGGATAAGATATTATTTTTATAGTTTACTGAATGCAATTTGGCTTTAACTTTTTAAAGTAAAGCTCTTTTGACATAGAAATGAAATCAGAGTTTAAGTAACCTAAAATTTTGGGGTGTATATAGTGCTGCATTTAAAAAAAACAGACATAAATGTGTATTTGCATAAATAACTATTTATATTTATAATTAATGATAGAATCATCTTATATTATTTTATACATAATTTTCTTCTTATAGCACTACCATGAAAAAATTTATATTTACTCAAATTTCCTTGATATTATAATTATAATCTAACAATCATTCTAATGTAATTAAATAAAAATAAAATGTTGATACTTTTGTATGAAAGTTACAAGTGAATATAATTTCTTATTAAAGTGTCAATCATTTGTATAAACCCCTCGCTCCATATATAAAAACAGAATTTTAACTATATTTCAGAATTAATTTTTACTGATTAAGAATATTAAACTACTATATTGCCAGTCAATAAAAAGTATACAATTATAATAGTTTAACTTATGAATATTTATTTCAGATTTTAATTTTCTAAAATAAATTAATAATTATGATTAAAATACTCACAGCAATTCTTTTAAGATTAGCAAGTACACATTTATGAGCATTAACCACGCAACAAAATTGTTCAAATACAAGTTCAAAAAGTTCAAGCAACAATTGAGCTTGAGAAGGATTCTGTAAAAATCCAGATACGTAACTTCCAGTTGGAACAGGCATTATTGGCAAGTTTTGAGTATTATCTAAGACGTATTGAGTCGTTCGGCTAACAATTGCCATCAGTTCTTTCTGGCTTCGCTCTTTAATTGTCTGTCATTTAAAAATTTATATTTTACTTAAATTCAGTACATTATTATTGATATACATTGCATAATTCTTACCTCTACTGCTTCCGGAACTTTATTTAAAAGTGCTAAACATTCTACAAGAATATTAATAAAATGAGAACTATTTTCTTCTGGATCGGGAACTGTAGTATCTTCCACAACAGGTTTATCAATCACAATATCAGTTTCTTTGGAAAAAGCTGAGAGCATGTTTTGACTAGGATTCACTCCTATAACGATTAATAGAAATTTTAATTATAAAATAATTATTGATTACAATAAATATCATGTCAGCGTTATATAACTGCATGCCAATTTCTGAATGAATTTATTATTTGAATCAGATCAGATTGTATAGTAATTTTAATCAATATTTTATAAATAACGACTGCTTCACAAAATATAAATAATAAAAAAATTTTTGTCATCAAAATCCAATGTCATAGCGCACCTCGTAAGCGAAAAAAGTATATGCCGGTACCTGTACTAGTTAGGATTAGAATGCAAGCTGACAAATAAAAAGAAAAAAATTGTATACTAGCTTAATCAGTTAATACTTTTACTGTACAATGAGATCTGAAAGTGTACAATAGTTCATGTGACTTAAACTTTCAATGAAGGTAAGAGCATGAGAATTAACAGATGTAGGCCTACAGAATATGAAAAATTCAACAGAAAATGACAAAAATTAGCAAGCTATCCGTGTGACCAGAGAACTATGACAAAGATTTTTACGAATTTAAAAAAAGCCAAGACAATGAAAATAAAAAAATTTTCTCTAACTTCTAATTCTAGATTACATCGGCCATTCTTCAGTATTTTATCACTGCTTGAAATAATCTACTAAGTTGTGACTAACGAATAGGCTTTATGAATATGACAAGTTTTACATTAATTTTTATTTGAAAAGAAAACAACAACAAGCTAAATAAATTTATTTTATACTAGCTCTACCCGGCCACGCGTTGCTATGGCTCAAAATGTATCTATTATAAATGTATAACACTCCTTGAGGGAGGAAATTTCGAAAAATCCCTTCTTAGCGTACATTCTCTTGACGTACCCTATTAAAACGCAATCAAAAACGCAAAAAACCGCATCTAAAATAGAATAATAGAAGACCAGTTCTTCACGGTAAGCCTTAATTTTGTTCTCTCACCCGCGGGGGAATTTCAACATTTAGCCTATATGATATAAAAACGCGTGTATTTCAATGCAACGTTTTGTCAAAATTTCAAAGCAATCGGTTAAGAACTTTCGAAGATTTAAGATTTTGAACAAACGAACATTTACATTTTTATTTACATATATAATCAACATACTGTACATTTATTTTTTTAGAATTTTAAAAATTCTGAAAAATTAATCTTCCTTTTCAAATATTATCTTTAAAACAGCTGGTTTGTTCCACGCATATTCCCATATTATTATAAACTTTACCGTTTTTACATTGGCAACCTGGTACACATCGCGGTCTCAAATACACGCATGGATAAATTCTTAGAATATTATTGCATGCTGGTGCTCCACAGCTTCCTAAACAATAAACGAATTCTTCGTCTTCATTGCAACGACCTAATAACGAAATTAAGATAGAAAATAACAACAAAATTAAATAATTTGCTAAAAATTTGTTTTATAAAAAAAATATAATTATATATATTATTTCTTTGAGCATTTGAATGAATCATTAATCAACAAATTAATGAAATAATAAAATAAGCAATAATTTTAAAACTCAATTAATATTATTTATGATGTTTTAATACGTGATAAAACAAAGTTGAAACAAGCAATAACATTTATTGTGTTATTGAAAATGAGTTATTGCCTAACGGTTTTACAGTAGAGCGTCGTTTATCCGAATCAATTGGGGACTGGGGTTGTTCGGATAACTTGTTTTTCGGATAATCGATTATGTACGAAAAAATATATTAACCTATCCCGTGTTGAAATTTTTCTCCGTTGCGTGTCGCTTCGCGTTGAATTTTCGTCGATGTTAAGCCTAACGTAAACTTTTAAAATAATAATCGTGGCTTTTATATCGGTAAAAATTATTTCTTTATTTTTTACAAACGAAATAAATATATCGAAAAATATAAAAACCAAAAAATATATACTTTAGAAGTTGATCTAGTATCAAAAATGTTCGATTCAGCATGACACACAGTCCTCAGAAAAACACCATACAAAAATGCCAGTGCTGCCGGCTAAAACACACACACCAACAAAAAAATATATTGGAGTAGCCTAAGATATAGCCAAAGATTGCAGCGCCACAGCACTAGCGAAAATTTAAATTTGCCGACTGAAATACTTTCGGATAACCGACTTTCGGATAAACGACGCTATACTGTAATTGATTTTATGCGAATAAAATTTGCATGTTTTCAGAGAGAAAATAAAATTATATTCATTTATATAATTTTGAAGAATTTATAGTTCAAGCAAATTTTTTTTTCTTTATCTTCCTGCGTAATACATAGGATCGACGTACAGGTTGAAACCAAGATCCTATTGTCTCACGTTAAATAGAAAATTCTTCACGGCAGTAGAACAAAATAGAAAGACAATCGACGTGCTGAATCCTTATGAAAATTCACGAGAATACAAAATTGCGATCCTCTTCACCTGAGATAACCGATCTTACTTAGTCTAGGTCGTCCGTAATGAGTCAATGCTATTTAGGTTATTATGAGCTATTCTTTGCGTTATGAAGTTAATCTAATCAAATTATACGAGAACGTTTTACTAAGAATAGTAAAATCTAACAACTGGAGAATATCATAAGGCTCGGTACAGTCAAGCTGCCAAGTAACGAGCGAACAAACGAATGACTTAACGAAGCAAACTGTAATATATTCGAATTACAACACTTTCTGTCTATCTGGATTCGCATTTTATTAAAAATCTAAAGATATACGGGCCATACGGACAAAATATGAGTATAGTAATACCCCGAACTTACGCGATAGGTGGGACCGAGAGATAACCGCGTAAGTCGAATTCGCGTAAGTCGGAGTATAATTTCCCAAATTTTGTAAACTCCAAGTCGGATGTATGTAAGCTAATAAATGTTCTCGTTAATCTTATCTCGTCTTTTGATTCGTTCACGGTTACAAGAAATCACCACATAGAGTCTCTCAAGTCTCCGTAGATATAACAAACACAGAAATAAATAACACAAAATAAATTGTAGCTATGTGTCGATTCCGCGCGACACGTCCGAACATGTAAGCCGAACAATGGTGTGGGGGGAGTGAGTAATCAAGAGTTGCGTGACGCTCAAACAAAAGACGAATCGGCGAGATTTGAAAATCGCGTAACTCCGGGTTCGCGTAAGTCGGGGTAGCGTAAGTCGAGGTATTACTGTATTTTAATTTTGCGAATTTGTTTTTCGGAAGAACACTAATTTTTTATCGTTATTATGTTGTTCGGTATGATAAGAAACAACCAGTTCAGTCAGTTTTTTGAAATAAAATTTACTTTTTACAATCACAGCTTTACCCCTATCATCTCGCCCTTATTTATTCTATATAATATTTATTTACTTTATTATATTTTTTATTTAAGAATGTTCTTCCGAAAAACAGATTCGCAAAAATAAAATATAACTTTTTGCTAATTCACCATCTCACCCTTAGAGGTTGATGAACAGTATATTGATAAGCCTTCTACTAGAGTCTACTCTGTTATTTTTGACCGATACAAGTTAGACTCATTGTTCAAGCTTTTACAGTATTGTATATCAATAAAAGAAAAAAGTCGTCTTCTAATCTTAATTAATGTAAGATTTTCGAGGCTACGGTAAACATAAGTTTAAGTAGAACATTCTACAAATCAAAAACAAAAGCATTTGATTTTTTCACTTATATTTACAGCAATTGAGCATAAACAGCACACATAGCAAATATGGCCTTCGACTATCACGATATATTTTAATACGAGGCACTACTTTTTAGTTTATACAGTAATTACACGTGTTCACCATCTAGCACTCATTTACCTTAAAACAAATATGTCAAAACAATAATAATACGTATATGATTTATATAATTTACTTTATTATTCGAAGTTTAGTTATGCATAAAAGAAGGAAATCGAAGGCCGGTTGACAGAGGCGGTTAAGACATCAGTCTGCTTCTCTGGAGTTTACGAAACTAAGTCCGAACGAATAACCCAAAAACTTTTTCTTGGCTCGTCTGTCCCGTCCTCCCCACTCGGCCACCCTTTTTGTGAGCCTAGCTAAGCCCAGCATGCGTAAAATTCAAAAAGCTAATAGATCAAAAATGAAGAAATGTACAGTACATTCGTTTAAAACGAATAAAATAATAGCAAAATTACAAATAATTTTTCAATTTTTACTAACTGCACCAATTTTGTATTTATCAATAAAATCGGTACAATTGAAGATTATAATTATTAATAAATCACATTTATATGTAGTGAATATTTTTATATAGTGATATTGTATTATAAAAATATTATTGATGTATTTATGTAAACAATTAATAGCTTAATTTACAAATTTATTAATTGTTTTTATATGAAATAATTTAAGAAAGAAATGTTATTGAATAATAACACGAAAATATTTTTGAACTTTTGAAAATTGTGACTCTTCAATTTTGTCTTTGTTTTTAATATATTAAGTTATTAAATTGCAAGAGAAAATAAGAAAAAAAACAAGCAATTACTTATTGTGACAGTTACTTAACTTTTCCGGTAACATTTAAAACTGCGTGCGGCGCCATCTGTTACATTTTATTTCAAAAATCTTATGTTTTTAATTATTATAAAATGGCAAAAAGCGTAATTTTGAGAGTAGGAATGGGTTTTATAAAAAAAAATGTAAATGCTAATAACGAGTAAAATCGTCATTAAGTCCCATCCTACTCGAGATACGACACACGACTCCCCCCTTTATCTCTCCAGCTGTCGATCTTTAACCATTAATATATAATAGCATTAATTCCCTTAATACACAAACCTCCCTGAGAAATTTCAGAAATTTTCGACAAAAATCACAGGCGTTATTAAGCTTCAAAAGGGGTAAACAAAATCGAGCCCTCTCCACACACACACACATACACACTCACCTATACATACGCATGCACAAACACAAACTAATATCGAAACATACAAAAAAAGCCCAAAAATTTTTACATTTCTCGACGTTTCAAATTCCTCTAAATTCAAAAATGTAAAAATCTTGAGGGAAATATTTTG